GATTATGAAACGTTTTATTTTAACATGATGAATACAATATTTTAAGACAAGGTGTTCAAATATTTTCCAAATCATTTCTAAAAAATATGTATGGTGTTGGATTGATCTAATTTCTGTGCACTGAGGACAAGCAAGTCCTAGGTTACAAACTGAACTCTGCAATGCAAGAACAAGATGCATTTCTTCCTTTAGGAGGTGCGATTGTCACAAGAAAAGAAAAAGGTTTCAGTTTTGTTTTTGCATGTGGGTGGGTATTCTGTTTGTAATAATTGTTTGGATACACTGTATTTTTAATATGCTAGTGGTGATAATTTCATGCCAAGTAAAAATGTCCATAGTCATATTTTATGTTCCTAAAGTAACAGAGTGACTTTCAATCTGGAAAAGAAAAAAGAAGCGCTAATGTAGGTTTTTTCCCAATTTTTCTGAAAATTTCCGTTTCCCCCCCAAAAAACTCGGTAAACCCACTTTTTTTCCCGAGCTTCAAAATTTCCAGAAATTTTACATCACTAGCCATGCCTAGAGGTACGTGCCCTTTTGCCCGGTTCCAATTCACTGTCAACTGGCATTGGCTGTTACAAAAGCAGGGAGGGGGAAAAAGACTCTCCGATTTCTCCACCCGGTGTATCTCTCCTTATATATAATTGAATAGTGGGTGCCAAAGTTCTAATTCTAAAATGCACTCCCTTAGTGTATGGCTGATGGCACTGCTCCTCAGCATATATCGCCACCAATCAGAAGGCAAAGCCCGGGTCCCGCCCACACCACAACTGCTGCGACAACCTGGTCTTTTGCATATGGAAGCTGATTGGACTTCACTCCATTCCACACCTCAAACTCCCCCCCCCCCGCAAGGCAGTTGGAATGTCAGTTGCATATGGAACCTGCTGTATTCTGGTGGTGTGCAGGTCCCAGGTTCATGTTTTAAAAGCAGACTGACACTGTTTGCCCAAAGCCAGAGCACTCTCCCAGAGCCTCTTTCTAGCTCCCGTTGTATTTATTTCCACAACAGGCCTTATTTCTAGTCATTTTATAAACCTCTAGCAAAGCCCGTTGACTCGGCTGCATAGCGATGGAACGGCAGCCCTGCAGGATCAGACCAGTGGTTCATCCACTCCAGCTTCTCGTTTCCTAGAGTGGCCACTTACGTGCCACAGAGAAGCAGGCCTGTAGCCAGGATTTTGTGGCTTGTGGGGCAATTTTTTTTTCCTGGTGGGGCTGCCGTTATTTGCCGGAATGAAGGGGTGTGTGTGTGCGACCCTCTGCCTCCCCTCCTGCAAGATGTAAAGGGCCCTTAAAATTTTTAGGAGGGGAGGCAGAGGGGTGCATGCCGCCCCCTGCTTCTTCTCAAAAGAAGCAAGGGGCCAGCTTTTTAAGGAAGGGGGCGGTGCCCCCACTAGCCCCACTGTGGCTATGGGCCAGCAGGAAAGCCTGCAGGCAGACCCATAGACAACAGCCCTCCTCTGCAGACTGCTCCCCAGCCGCTGAGCTTGGGGGAGAAACTGTGGCTCAGTGGTAGAACCTCTGCTCGGCGTGCAGAAGGTCCCAGGTTCAATCTCCGGCAAGTCCAGTTGAAAGGACCAGGCAGGAGGTGATGGGAAAGACCTCTGCCTGAGACCCTGGAGAGCCACTGCCAGTCTGAATAGACAATACTGACCTCAATGGACCAGAGTAGGGGCTGTAGCTCAGTGGTAGAGCATCTTCTTGGCATTCAGAAGGCCTCAGGTTCAATCCCCGACATCTCCAGCTAAAAGGACCAGGAAGCAGGTGATATGAAACGCCTTCACTTCAGACCTTGGAGAGCTGCTGCCAGTCTGAGTAGACAATACTGACTTTGGTCAGGAATCAGGAAACAGGAAACCTCCTCAGGAAATTCATATACAAAAGAACCTCATCAGGAAAGCTCCCTTCATTAGCATGTTCACAGCCTGGGGAACTCCTACAAGATAATGACTCAGCCCTACCCCACCTTCCTGAGTAGATACAAATTACCTGCCTACCATTTTCTTCTCACACTGACACAGAGAGTACTCCATCTTTCTGTGTTATACCTCTGAGGATGCCAGTCACAGCTTCCGGCGAAACATCGGGTCCTACAATGCCAAGACCACGGCCAGACAGCCCGGAAAATCTACAACAGCTAATACTGACTTTGATGGACTGATAGCCTGATTCAGTATAAGGCAGCTTTGTGTGTGTGTGTGTGTGTGTGTGTGTGTGTGTGTGTGTGTGTGTGTGTGTAACTCCCCAATCTACTATGCAGGGACAGACCTGCCACCCTCCTCTGGAAATCTGTCTTAAGCCCTTTTGCAATGTATGTAAGCCAGAGGACACCATCTTATCTTGTGGCGGAGAGTTCCAAAAGCCATCTACACGTTGTGCGAGTACGACTTCCCTTGGCATGTCTCGCGGGCTATATTGTTTTCCTGCAAGGAATCGCATGAGGGGTTGTTTCCTCCAAATGCATCCGAGTGTGTGGTTTCGCATGCAGTGTCGCTCATTTTCCTTGGCAAACGAGCCACTTCGGGCGTCGCCCGACTTGCAGAAACACACCAGAGAAAGTCTCCGCTCAAAAGAAGCCCGAGGGCGTGCACCGGCAGATGCGTCGTGGCCCTCTTTCTTGGTGGTGGAAAGCACTGCCAAGTCAGAGCCGGCTTACGGTGACCCCGTGACCCCGTAGGGTTTTAAGGGAACAGACACTTAGAGGTGATTTGCCATTGCCTGCCTCTGCGTAGCAACCCTGGACTTCCTTGGTGGTCTGTGATCCAAATTAGTACTGACTGGGGCTGACCCCCTTTTAGCTTCTGAGAGTAGAGATGTGAAGGCCTGGGAAAAAACCAGAAAAATTTGGGAAAAACACATTTTTTTCCTGAAGCCTTTTTTGTTTTTTCCCGAATGATGGATAAAATATTTTAAGACAAGGTGTTCAAATATTTTCCGAATCATTTCTAAAAAATACGTATGGTATCAGATTGATCTAATTTCTGTGCACTGAGGACAAACAAGTCCTAGGTTACCAACTGAACTCTCCAAGGCAAGAACAAGATGCATTTCTTCCTCTAGGAGGTGCGATTGTCACAAGAAAAGAAAAAGGTTTCAGTTTTGTCTTTGCATGTGGGTGGGTATTGTTTGGATACACTATATCCATGATAATGGATAGTCATGATAATTTCATACCAAGTAAAAAGGTCCATAGTCACAGAATGACTTTCAATCTGGAAAAGAAAAAAGAAGTGCTAATGTAGCGTTTTTTTCAATTTTCCCAAAAATTTCCATTTCCCCCCGAAAAAACTGGAAAAAAACCCAATTTTCTTCCCCAAGCTTCAAAATTTCTGGAAATTTTACATCTCTGTCCGAGAGCTGACGAGACTGGGCTAGCCTAGGCTATCGAGGTCAGAGCGGGCAAGAGCCGGTGTCAGTGGAAAGCACCATCAAGTTGAAGCCAACTTACAGCAACCCCATGTGCTTTTCAAGGCAAGAGACTAACAGAGGTGGTTTGCCATTGCCTGCCTCTGCCCGGGCTTCCTCAGCGGACTTCCATCCAGGTACTAACCAGACCAGACCCAGCTTAGCTTCTGAAGTCTGATTAAGACCACTCCCGCAGTAGTGAAATTCCCCACATTGACATTTAAAAAACTGCACGTTATGTGAAATTTTCCGCAGTAGAGAGCCAGTTTGGTGTGGTGGTTAAGTGCGCAGACTGTAATCTGGGAGAACCGGGTTTGATTCCCCACTCCTCCACTTGCAGCTGCTGGATGACCTTGGGCAAGCCATAGCTGTTCTTGAAAGAGCAGTTTCTCTCAGAGCTCAGTTTGCAAGCTGCTCTGAGACTCCGAGTGAAGGGCGGGGTATAAATCCAATCTCCTCCTCCTACTACTACTACTAGTAACCAGGCGCAAACCTGAAGTTTTCTCCTTCTTACCCCACGTTTTTGGAACTCGCTAAAACTGGGGATTCCGAAAATGCGGGGAAAGAAGGAGAAAACTTTGGGTTTGCACCTGGTGAGGAAAAATCTACTGCGGATAATGTCACATAACACACAGTTTTAAAAACATCACTGTGGGGAATTTTACTACTGCGGAAATGGTCTAAGACTGGGGTCACCCAGGTCAGGTATCTGTTTTGCTTTTTTAAAAAAGAAAATTCGCAAATTTCACTGTTGATTACCTTGAAGCCAATATTTTTATCTGCCAGGGGGACATTGGTCCTTGCTTTGAAACTCTCTGGAGAAGAACACATTCCCCTTAGTTGATTCCTGTTCCCTGAAGGGGCAAAGTGTTTATGACAGAAACAGAGCGTGGGGAGAATAGACTTAACCTGCCTTTGCCTGGTACTGTGGTCCTAAATTCCCACACCCACCAGGTGCTGGTGTTTGGAGGTGTTTAGAGAGAGGAAGATCAGAACAAAGATCTCTGATCTGGCCTAAGAGCATGCTGCTCAGGACCAGATATGCCACAGAAACGCAGTGGAGAACCAAGGGGATTTCCTTTAGCCCTGTAGGAGGGGGCCGTGGCTCAGTGGCAGAGCATCTGCTCGGCATGCAGAAGGTCCCAGGTTCAATCCCCGGCATCTCCAGTTAAAAAGGACCAGGCAGGAGGTGATGTGAAAGACCTCGGCCTGAGACCCTGGAGAGCCGCTGCCAGTCTGAGTTGACAATACCAACTTTGATGGACTGATGATCTGATTCAGCCTAAGGCAGCTTTGTATGTGTTCAAAAGGAAGAGTCAGCAGTGCATTATATCGAGGTGGCAAAAAGGATGGCTCCATTTCCCATGATGGGTGGACGAATGCTCGCCTCCCCGCAGCGAGAAAACCAGTACGCCAGGCATAGAACCCCTCTCCCTGCAGTGCTAGGTTGCTGTTGCGGGGAGTCTCTTTAAAAGCACAGACAAATGTGCGGGAGTGGAATTGATCTCCCGCTGTCTGAAGCAGTACGATCCACTCAGCTTCTTCATGCCCCTGCCCGCACGAACCAGACTGAAGCCAGTCTCGTTAGCTCCTCATCTCGGTTTCTGGGCTGCTGTCCCCGGTTTGCAGGATACAGCCCTGTAACCGCGGGAGCAACAGGGAGAATGCCCGTCGGCCTGGCTCTTTGCCCTCCCCCTGCTGCGACTCCAGAGTAAGATGAGGAGGAAGCAAATGGTGACGGAGCAGAGGAAGGGCATGATCCCAATGGCGAGGACCCCCACCAGGGTGTTGATGTCCACGAGGATCAGGTGGAAGGTCTCCGTGGTGTTGACAAAGCTGACGTTGCTCGGTAGAAAGGAGTCATTCGGCAGGCGTACGGAGAACGGGCGGACTTGGAGGTGGGCCACCAGGGTGTCGTTTCCCGCCACGTTGCTCGCGATGCAGCAGTATGGCCCAGTGTCCTGAGGCAAGGCAAATTGGATCTCCAGTGTGCCATCCGAAAGGACCCTCACTCGCCCCTTGCGCCTGGCATCCAAGTGGATCCTGTGAGGGGTCACCCAGGAGATAGTCGGCGCCGGATCCCCGTCGCTTCTGCACCTCAGCATCGCCTGGCCTCCTTCTTCGATGCTCACGCTCTGAGGTGTCCGATCTATAATCTTGGATTTCCTACAAGTGAAGTGGTCCAGCAGCACCTCGGAGAATTCCCGGAATACTTTACCTTCCACTGTCGAGGGGCTAGCGCAGGCCGGTTGCTGGGCTTCAAAATTCAGCCTCCGCCTCCTGCGGATGATCCAGAGGAGGCGGCAGTCGCAAGCCAAGGGGTTTCCATCCAGCCGGAGGACTTCCAAGTTCCCCACCGAGTGGAAGACCCCTTCCTCGAGGGTCTGCAAAGCATTGCCAGAGACGTTGAGGAGGCGGAAGTAGTACAGTCCTTGGAAAGCTTTGTTCTCTATTGTCGCCAGCCGACCACCAGTCAGGTGGAACTCCTGAAGCCGCAAGAGGTCCCTCAGTTTCCTCCCGTGGATTACGGAGATGGGGTTGTAGGAGAGATCCAGGAACCGGAGGTAGACCAAGTGCTTAAAGGCTTCGTAGGGAATGACACTAATATTGCACTTGGTGATTGACAAGGAGGTGATGTTTAAACCGAAGAGGCTGTAGGACTCCAACGTCGTCAGGAAAGGACACCGATGGATCTCCAGAACCTTCAGGTGGTGAAGCTTCCGGAAAGAGTAGTTAGGAACCGTGCTGATGTTCAGGACCCTAAATCTGAGCTCCACCAGGTGGTGAAGGTGAGAGAGGGCTTGCGTTGGGACGCCAGTCAAGTTGCATTTCTCCAAGACGAGATGTTGTAGCCGGTGGAGACCCCCAAAAGCTCGGTTGGAAACAAAGACCAAGTGATTATCTCCCGCCTCCAGCTTCCTGAGGTTGATGAGGTCTTTGAAAGAGTGGTCCAGGAAGATTACGATCTTGTTTTTACTAATGTCCAAGACGGTGAGATTGGGGAGCCCCGTGAAAACCCCCGCTGGGATTATCTTCAAGAAGTTGCTCTTCAGCCAGAGGGTCATCAGCTTCTGGAGGCCGTTGAAAGCTCCGGGTTCGATGTTGGAGATGATGTTCTCACTCAGGTCCAGCTCCTTCAAGGCCCGGAGGCGGGAGAACATACCCTGGTGCAGGGTGCGGATACGGTTGTGGCTCAGGTCCAATAGTTCGGACTCGGGAGGGATCCCACTGGGCACGGTCGTCAGGCGCCGGCCATTGCAGAACACCGCCTTCTCCTGGGAGGAGCAGTCGCACCTCGAGGGGCAGCTCCCGCCGAATCCAACCCAGGGGGCCGCCAGGATAAGGAACAACAGGGGAGGCCATCTTGCCTGGGTGGAGGGAAAATCCAGCGGGGCTCCGGCAACCATCTCACTTGTTTTCTGGAGGGGAAAAAAGAAAGAAAGAAGGCCCTGCAATTAATGGGAGGAAGAAATCCCCAGGCTATCTGCTGATTTGGGGTAACGATGAGGGAAAGCTCTAAGAAAAAAATGCTCTACTTGTTGATTTTGGCAGACTGCTCTCCTCTTTGGTTGACCCCTAGTAGTTTGTTAGAGGTGTCAAGACATCTGAGCATACATGGGTTATTTTCTGCTTTGTTACAAAGACTGCACGTTTGGGCCTTCTTAATCTTCCTCGTGTTGGAAATATGTGTGTGTTGCAAGGTCTAATGCAGTCATTGTAGGGTTAATCTGCTTTACCTTGTGTGCTATTGTTTAGACTGGCCTGGAAGGGAAACCTGTCTCAGAGCCAATGAAAACGAAGCCCGTGAAATCTAAGTCTGTTTACTCACAATCATTGGTTAATGCATTCAGGTGATTTCCTTAAAGGGGTCAAGAAGAAGAAGTATCTCCATTACAGTTGTTGTTGTGAGACCCTGTGGTCGGTCTGTTTGTAGCTCTGAAGATGTAGCCTTAGTCTCTCTTATTTTGTAGCTTTTCCTGAGTACCCTTCCCTTTAGGAATAAAGATTTTTACACAGAAAGACATGCCTCCTCTCCAGTGAAGCAAAGATCCTTTGCAAACTCTGGATATCTAAGTATTTTTGCTAATTTCCCCAACACCTCATACATAGGGTTTCCATTTGCCCACTTACGGTGAGAGCCCTTCAAGCAATTGCAGCCCCCGCCCGCCAATGCTCAGCTGATTGGCGAGCAGAAACAGGTGCCAGGGGGCACACACGATTGTCCTGGGCAGAAAAATTAAAACAGAAAAACAAGGCCTCGTCGACTTACAGGAAGTTGTGACTATAGAGTTCCCGTTGATTCCTAGAGTAATCTTACCACAGAGTTTCCACAATTGCTGGAGTTAACCTTTGTCACTTCTGGGTAGCTCTGGGAACAGCCAGGAACTCTGTCACCACAACTTCCTGTAAGTCGATGAGATGACCGTAGAGTTTCTGGTGATTGTTGGAGCTACCCTCGTCATTTCTTGGTAGCTCTAGGCATCGCCTTTGTCTCTTGCCTTGACCTGGGTGGCCCAGGCTAGTCCAATCTCATCGGATCTTGGAAGCTAAATAGAGTCGGCCCTGGTTAATACTTGGAGGGGAGACCACCAAGGAAGTCTAGGGTTGCTACGCAGAGGCAGGCCCGGTGTTGTCCAATGTTTTTATAAATGACCTGGAGGAAGACATAGAGGGGATGCTTATCAAACTTGCAGATGACACGAAGCTGGGTGGGACTGCGAATTCTGAAGAAGACAGAGTCAGGATTCAAAGTGACCTAGATAGGCTGGAACCGTGGGCTGAGACAAATAAAATGAATTTCAATAGAGAGAAGTGCAAAGTCCTACACTTAGGTACAAAAAATCAAAGGCACAGATATCGAATGGGAGGGACTTGGCTTGACAGCAGCACATGTGGAAGGGATCTGGGTGTTCTGGTTGATCACAAGCGAAACATGAGCCTGCAGTGCGATGTGGCTGCGAAGAAAGCGAATGCAATCTTAGGATGCCTTAACAGAAGCACTGTGTCCAGATCACAGGAGGTGGTCGTTCCGCTCTGTTCTGCTATGGTCAGGCCTCACCTGGAGTCCTGTGTCCAGTTTTGGGCACCACATTTTAGGAAGGACGTTGACAAGCTCGAGCGTGTCCAGAAGAGGGCAACCGGGATGGTGAGAGGGTTGGAATCCAAGTCTTACGAGGAAAGGCTGAAAGAGTTGGGTCTGTTTAGCCTGGGAAAGAGAAGGCTTAGAGGGGACATGATTGCAGTCTTCAAGTATTGGAAGGGCTGCCATGTAGACGATGGAGCAGATCTATTCTCCCTTGCTCCAGATTGCAAGACTAGATCTAATGGGTGGAAATGACAAGGGAGTCGATACCGGCTCAATATCAGGAGAAACCTCCTAACTGTAAGAGTGGTTGAGCAGTGGAACAGACTGCCTCGGGAGGGGGTGGATGCTCCTTCGCTGGACGTTTTCAAGCAGAGGCTGGACGACCATCTTTGGGGTATGTTGTAGGGCTGTCCTTCGGCTGTGCTCCTGCAGAGTGCAGGGGGTTGGGCTAGATGACCTGCAAGGTCCCTTCCAACTCTGACATTCTTTGATTCTAACAGCAGACCACCTCTGAACCGTTCGAGTGAGCGACTCGGTAGGCCTGGACATTGAGGGGCGCTACATCACTCTAAGCATGTATAGGTGTTCTCTTCTTGAATGGGATGCCTCCCTTTGTCTTAATCTGGAAGCTGCCCTCTGACCCCCTCCTCCTCTCTCTCCCTTTGTCCTCTCCCTCACTGCACATGGCTTTCCATGGAGACACATGTCTCTGCTGGGCTCTCCTGTAGAGACAGTGCCCTCATTCTCCCACACAACATGATGACGGACAAGCTGGCCATTTGTGACCGTAAAATTGCTCGTTAAATTAGGCTTCTCTCTCTCTCCTTTCGACTGCAACCGGAATGCGAACGGGATCTACTTGAATACATTTGAGTTTACCTTTTCTGCAATATATTTCTCGGCAGGGCTCTTTTTGTAGAAAAAGCCCAGCAGGAACTCATTAGCATAACAGGCCACACCCAACAGTAGGAACTCATTAGCATATTAGGCCACACCCCTGACAGCACAGCTTATTAGCATATTAGGCAACACCCACATGTTACCAGAAGTGTGGTCATCCAGCCACACCCACCTTTGGCTTCTTATTCTGTTTACCTTGTTTGTGGTCAAAACCCAGGGCCTTTTTTTGTAGCAGGGACTCCTTTGCATGTTAGGCCACACACCCCTAATGTAGCCAATCCTAATGAGTTCCTGCTGTTGGGTGTGGCCTATTATGCTAATGAGTTCCTGCTGGGCGTGGCCAACTTGGGAGCCAGCCGGAACGCCGTTCCTGTGCGTTCCTGCCCCAAAATAGCCCTGTTTCTCGGGAGATTTGTTTCCTGCACTCAGTATCAGGCTTCTGCGACTGGGCAAAACTCTGCCATGTTAATCAAATATCCCAATAGGAACACCCCTTTCCTTGAAAACCCCCATGAGGGGTCACCACAATTCAGCTGTGATTTGTGAACACTTTCCCGCCGTCGTACCTTGCTTGTTCCTTTGTTGGGGGATAAGCATTGGCATGGAGAAGCAAACAGACCTGAAGCCACAAGTGCAGCCCACGGACATATTCCCAGCCCTTCCTCCACGGGCAGGACAGCGGGACAAACTCCTTTGTCTGGATCTGGAAGGAAGAGGGGGATAGTTTCGATTGGCTCTTAAATACGGCCAAGAAAGAAGGGGATGTAACTCCAACTCTGCACAGCGACTTTCTTCCCCATCACGGGGACCCGAAGCAGTGTACGTTATTCTCCTCTCCTCCGTCCTAGCCTCACAACAGCCCTGTGAGGTAGGTTAGACTAAGTGTGTGTGATTGGGTCCAAGGCCACTCGGCGAGCTTCCTTCGCCGAACACGAATTTGAACTTGGGTCTCCCAAATCTTACTCCGACAGCCTAACCAGTACGCCACTTTGGCTGTTTGGTGTAGTGGCTAAGAGCCAGTGTGGTGTCGTGGATAAGAACGGTGGACTCTAATCTTTGATTCCCCACTCCTCCACATGCAGCTGCTGGTGTGACCTTGGGTCAGTCACAAGTTCTCTCAGAGCTGTTCTCTCAAGGGCAGTCCTCAAAAGATCTCCCTCAGCCCCACCGACCTCACAGGGTGTCTGTTGTGCCTGTTGCATCTGACGAAGAGAGCTGTGTTTCTCGAAAGCTTATGCTACAATCAAGTTTGTTAGTCTTAAAGGTGCTACTGGGCTTTTTACTGTTCTGGGGGAGAGGAAGGGAAGGAGATTGTAAGCCGCTCTGAGACTCCAAGTGAAGGGCGTGTTATTATAAATCCAATCTCTTCTTCTTCAGTTGTCCTTCAACCCACCTTCAACCCATGGTGTTTTCTTTTTAAGCATTTATGTGCAAGATTGGTGGAGATTAAGAACATCAGAAGAGCTCCAGCATACTGCCTCACACAGTGGACAACCAGTTCCTCTGGAGGGCCAGCAAACAGGGCAGAGAGGCCGAGGCCTTCATAAGAACATCACAAGAGCCCTGTTGGTTCAGACCAGTGGTCCATCTAGTCCAGCAACCAGTTCCTCTGGAGAGCCAACAACAGGACAGGGAGGCCAAGGCCTTCCCCTGAGAAGAACATCAGAAGAGCCCTACTGGGTCAGACCAGTGAGGGTCCATCCAGTCCAGCCTCCTGTCTCACACAGTGGCCAACCAGTTCCTCTGGAGGGCCAGCAACTTGGCAGAGAGGCCGAGGCCTTCCCCTGAGAAGAACATCAGAAGAGCCCTACTGGGTCAGACCAGTGAGGGTCCATCCAGTCCAGCCTCCTGTCTCACACAGTGGCCAACCAGTTCCTCTGGAGGGCCAACAACAGGGCAAAGAGGCTGAGGCCTCCCCTGAGAAGAACATCAGAAGAGCCCCGCTGGGTCAGACCAGTGAGGGTCCATCTAGTCCAGCATCCTGTGTTACACAGAGGCCAACCAGTTCCTCTAGAAGGCCCACAACAGGGCAAAGAGGCCGAGGCCTCCCCTGAGAAGAACATCAGAAGAGCCCTGCTGGGTCAGACCAGTGAGGGTCCATCCAGTCCAGCATTCTGCCTCACACAGTGGCCAGCCAGTTCCTCTGGAGGGCCAACAACAGGGCAGAGAGGCCGAACCTTTTCCCTGAGAAGAACATCAGAAGAGTCCTGCTGGACCAGACCAGTGGTCCCTCTAGTCCAGCATCCTATCTCACACAGAGGCCAGCCAGTTTCTCTGGAGAGCTGATCAACAAGGCATGGAGGCTGAGGCCTTCCCCTGATAAGAACATCAGAAGAGCCCTGCTGGATCGGACCAGTGGTCCATCTAGTCTAGCATCCCATCTCACACAGTGAGCAACCAGTTCCTCTGGACTGGTTGAGG